TCCACTCAACACAGACCCAAGGTGACTGGATCATCTGGCCTGCCCCATGAGGTTGCAAACTGTAGGTGAGCAGATATGGAACGACATGAATAGTAAAGCACTCCAGGTCCCAGGTGCCATTGGTGCTGTCTTGGCATCTGGAATTTCAGATGGCCAAACCCAGAAGAGCTCCATGGGAACAGCAATGGGAGACGGGAGACACCAAATAAATTCTATTTAATTCCTCTTCATGCATCACCTCAATAGACTTTGAGGGTATTCAGAAATTCATAGGAATTCTCTTATGATGTGCCTTGAAGCCATGGAGCAACCAGGCGTGCCTAAGATACTGTAGCCAATTTAGAATTGCACTTCTTCCTTCCTTCTCTACCTAATAAAATTAGGAATTTCCCTCCTAATTAGGGAATTAGGTATTTCCCTCCCTAATAAAATGTTAACACATAAGTTTTTGTCTTTAAACCTGTTTTCTAGAGCAACTGTGCCACGAACGGGTGCATTTGTTTGTATGTGTGAAAGGGAGGATAATACAATATCTTTTTTTAAAAAACTTTCAAAACTTACATTGTTATTTTGGAGAGTGGATTTACCCTAGACTTTGCATATGTTAAATCCCAAATTAATTTGTGTTACACTGCACTCACGTGACCCTACCAAAAAAACACCCCATTTCACTCATTTTCTTGTATTACTAATTTTTGTGTGCATGTCAAAGTGGAGGAAGGGTGCACCTGTTTTAACATTTTTATTTGAAATATAAAACCATGGGTGAGAAAAAAGTTTTAAATGGCAAACTCACTTGGCTGAGTTTTTTTTAAATCAAATATTGATAAGGTAAACACATGGCTCTGATTAACTAATAAAAGACCATTCATTCAAGAATGAACATTTTCTTTAAATTAGCATTTCAGTAAGCAACTTGGCCCTTACTCACTGCTTAGGCCACGGTCTCCTTCAAGTTAATTCAATAAATGACTCATATTTAAGGCATCTTCTTTCTCTTATTTTACTTTATAGCACTTATCACCAATTAACATTATAAATTTCACTTATTATTGCTATTTTAATTCACTGAATTTTCGGTTCTTTGAATTAGAATTATTAGAATTGCCCTGTTTTGTTTACTGCTATCTCCCCAATGCCTAGAACAGTACACACTTGAAAAATAGTAGGCACCTATTAATCTTTGAAAAATAAATGAAAGCTGATTTAGGAAAGAAGAAGCCATGGTCAATATTTGGATGATTATTAATAATGCCTTAGATTTGTAAAACACATCTAAGAAATTTCAGAGGGGTTTTACCTATATCAACTCAAATATACCTAATAATAACCTGTAAATAGAAATAACAGCTATTTTTGTGCCTACTTCACAGATAAGGAATCTACAATTTTTAGTTTATGTGACTTCTCTAAGTTAACCTTCTCAGTTATAGGAGGAAGCTTGATCTTTCCTGCTTTTTTCAGACTTAAAGATTGATTTTGGTGTTATTACTTTTTTAAGAATACGTCATTTCTGGTTATAATATAGCAACTAGTTGGTTATATCATAACTACGTAATTATCATACCTTGAGACCACTGATACTACATAAACCGATAAATTTCCTTGGCTACTCAAACAGGTTGGCAGAAGTTAGACAACAGTGAAATGGGGCAAGTGTCAAATGCAACTCCGTAGTATTACACACACACACACACACACACACACACACCATGCACACAGAAGCTATGCCATTAGACAGTATTTAAAAGGAACACATATCTAGGTAATAATTCATGACCTGCTATTCTGCAATCAACTCTGGTGAAAGCCTGATGATAAACCTAGCATTTTCATCACCCTAAAATTTATTTTTTTTTCTCTTTACCTCAATTTATCACCTCATATCTTACACTGAAAACAGCTCTTCTATTTTGTGTGATTCAAGAACTAATCTCCTGACCTCCTATTCCTGCCAATCAAATTAGTCAGAACTAATTAGCATGAAAACAAATTCGATCACCTAAGGAGATGTTTGTTTCCTGCCTTTATTGGGAAACAAAGGCGTAGTGGTTGGATTACTTCAGTAAGTAGCAAAACAGGTAATTTCCCTTTTTAAAGCTACTTAAAAGCCAAAGGTGATTTCAATTATTCACCAAATATGTACATCGTATGTGTTAACCAGTGACTGTACAAAACGACAGAATAATAGCATTCCTCATTCAACGCAGCTCTATTATATACGATGCAGAGATGTGCTCTTCACACTAAAGCAGACAATGAATACACATTGTGTGACACACAAAGCTTAAAAATAGAGATGTGTGGGTAGCCAAGTATCTGCTGTGACAAAGATCTGATCTACTAATTATCTGCAACACATTTTGGGTCCCATGGCTGCTACCCCAATCTTTTTACAATTCACCTGAGGGTGATTTTGGCAGGCTGTCAACAGGCAAACAGGGAAATAAGTTGGGAAACATTAATAAAGGTTGAGAACAACAGCTTTTCATGCTTTGAGCTCATCATTCAAGTATAACAAAAACTGTAAGATGAAGAATGGGGACAATGTGCTGAGAAGACAAGAAAGAGAGAAGCAAACATTTAAATGGCTGTAAAGTTACATTTGTGAACCTCTTGTCAAAACATGTTTGTTGTAGTTTTTTTTTTTTTTTAAGTTGTCTTATACTTTTCCTTTTTTCAGAAAAATCAACCAAGAGAGTTACACCCTCCATAACAGCGAAACACTTCTGTTCCTTAGTACAGCAAGATCTTTGTCCATTTTAACATAAAAAAATGACCACATACTATTAAGTCTCCAAAAAAGAGAACAGAACTGTAATAGCTACGTTCAGAAAAATAAAACCAAGGCATAACACGGAAATTAGCTTTTCTATGATTAAAAAAAATGGAATAGCTAATATTATTTTCCTTCACTTACTAATGTGTATTTCTAAAATTTTTATAGCACTTATATGCAAAATACGTGAGCATTGTGTTCAATATATTTAAACTACCTATTAACTGAATGAAACACCAACTTTAAGGAGTTATGAAAATTAGGTATAAGTGGAAGTTATACTATGATTTCTCTAATCTTAGGAAATTAATGGTGTGGTATTAAAATATACAATATACCAAAATGAGACTTTTATTTTCCATGATAAAAATGAAAATAATCTATTTAAACTCATAAAATTAATTTAATTTAAATATACAAAGAATAACATAACAAATGTTTTAAACACTGTTATATACAGTTTAAATATCAGTTTATATAAAACATGAACTCGAAAAGCTTTCTTTATAGCCTGTCCCCAGTCTGGTTTCCTTCTCCAGCCCAATAATTAATCAGAATTCCTTCCTTCCTAGCTACTTCTAGCTTTTTTACATACACGTCCTTCTATAAAAGGTAAATGATTACAAGTATCATTCTAAGACCTACTCCTTTTTTGCATTCAACATTCTGTATTTGTGATTTTATATAGAGAGATATAGATACAGGTCATTTTTTAAAACGCTAAATAGCATTGTGTCATATAAACATAGTATATATTATTTATTTTTGTTGGTGCCTGCTTAAGTTCCTTTATACTTGCTGTTTTAGACAATGTTTTTAGTGCAGATCCTTATACATGTCCCCTTGTGCAAATATACAAGAATATTATTAGGCCATGTACCCAGAAGAGCAATTACTGGGGAGACATCAAATTTTAAAATTAATAGGCACCTTAGAAATTATCTGACACCATTAACTCCTTTTTCCGAGGCACAATTAACAAACAGTGGCAAGACTTAAAGTAGATTCCAAGTGGGGATCTAATTTCTGTGCTCTTGACATTGTGTCATTACTTTCCGTCCATTTTGGCCTTTTTATGTACCACACAGGTGCTTGTGCATTTATTCTCAATACAACCCATGAAAGTAGCCCCTTACAATCTAGTTCCTATAATACTATAAAGTCACTGACTGCACATTTGCAGGTTGCAAGGACACAGGACCAGGAATGAGAAGACTTCAACCACGCTATTCATGTTTGATACACTGTGGTCACCATGCACCTCACTTAACTTCAATTTCCCCCAATTCTTCTTAGACCTTTCTTTGGCTGGACAAACTACATCTATATTATTCTGCTGCCACAAACCTATTTCAAAGCTGAGCATCTGGTCTGATGCTGTCATTTTCTAATACATTCTCCACTTCCCCTTCTGTACTATACACAGTAGTTAGAATTTATTAAAAAAATGTAAATTGGGGGCACCTGGGTGGTTAAGCTTCTGCCTTCAGCTCAGGTCATGATCTCAGGGTCCTGGGATCAAGCCCCAAGTTAGGCTCTCTGCTCAGCAAGGAGCCTGCTTCTCCCTCTCCCTCTGTGATCTCTCTCTCTCTCTCTCTCCCTCAAATAAATAAATAAAATCTCTCAAAAATTATGTAAATGGAATCATGTCACCACCTACATAAAGCCTGTGACAGTCTCCTTATTGCTATTAGAATAAAATTCTAATTCCTTACCAAGGTCTATCTAGTCTCATCTGTGCCACTATCACCTTCATTGGCTATGCTCCTGGCACACTGGTCTTGCTTGTCCCAAGTACTTTTCTTTGCGTATCATCTTTCTTCTGCCCAGATTGCTCTTCCCACATTACTTCACATGGCTGATTCACTCCCCCTCTTCAGGTATAGTCTAAAGATAACTTCTTGAAAGAGGCCTCCATTGTCCATCAAATCCAAAGTAAGCCTCTATTCCCTTACTCACCCCCAGTGTCACCAATCATTCTCCTTTGCAAACTGTATTGTTTTGTGAGGGTTACCATAACAAGATATCACCACCTGGGTGACTTACACAACAGAAATGCATTGTTTCACAGTTCTGGATCCAAGACCCAAGTGTCAGCAGAGTTGATTCTTTCTGAGGGCTGGGAGGAAGAATCTTTCTAGGTCTTTCTTTTCTAGTTTTTGGCAGTTTGCTAGCAATCTTTGGCATTCCTGGCTTATAGAAACATCACCCTGACACCTACCTTCATCTTCACATGGTGTTCTCCCTATGTTCATGTCTGTATCCAAATTTCCCCTTTTATGAAGACATCATCTTGTATTAGGGGCCCACACAATTCCAGCATAACCTCCTCTGAAGGTAATTACATCTGCAACAAACCTATTACAAAAAAAAAAAAAAAAAGGTCATATCCTGAGGTCCTGGGAATTAAAACTTAAATATATGACTTTTGGGAGGGGACACAATTCAACTCATAAGATGCACTTTTCAAAATGTATGATTATGTATGTGTTCATTCATTTGTTTAATGATCATTTCCTTTACCAGACTGTAGAGGGGCTTTTGTTTTGTTTTGTTTTCTTTCTTTTTTTTCTACATATGTATACTCAGTGTCCTCAATAGGCTTGGCACCTGATGGATAGTCAATAAATATTTGTTGTTTTTCTACACATGTCATTACATGATTTATAAAGTCTATTACTGGTTTGAATTTTGTGATTTTTGTTTTCACTATGCCCAATTTTATCATCATAATTTTATCCAATGCCATCCCAGGGCAAAGTTTTAAAAATGTAAACCATATGTCAAAATAAAGCAAACATAAATCCTGTTTTGCTGCATAACTTCCTAAATAATTCAACCCAAAATATGTACACTTTCAGAAAGGAGATGGAGGTATCGCCATAGTTCACTTAGTAATTTTTCAACCAACTTTCAATTTACTTTCACTCTGAGGAATGAGGACTAAGAGTAATAATATAAAATGTAACCCCACTATATTTTATGCTGGACATAAAACTTCATAGAAACTTCAGAAAACTCATCTCTACAGTTCAAAATATCACTGCCTTCTGCTGTACTGTCAGTTTGTCTTTTGTTCTTTTTATGTCCACCCCCCTCTACAACCAGAGCCCTGAATCCTATTACAGCCTACTTTCTGAATATACTTAATCATGCATTTATTCTCTTTTTCCTTAGCCTTCTCTTACAGTCCCTTTTTTACCAGTTCTATCTCCTATGCTGTCAAAAAAGCATGAGTCTCCCATTTTAAGAAGGCCTGTTTTAGATCCTCCAAATCTATTATTGGATCTGGTCCCTCAACTCAACCTTCTTGATATTTTCCTTCAGCCTCTTTAAATCAATCCCGTCACCTCTGCTAGAGGAATCTTCCAAAATGCCATTTTCATTATACCACTTCACTGATTTAAAACTATATTGGTGCCATATCACCTATTGGATCAAGTTTAAGATTCTAAGTCTCCATTAACTAGCCTTAGATTGCTCACCCTTTTTTAACTTCCACTGTAATTTCTCAAATTTATACCATCTGCTTTATTCTACCAACAGCCCTTGCCAATGTCAACTCTCTTACTTTATTTATGTTGCTTTTCTAAGTGAGAAAGACCTGCCTACATCTTCCTGAAAAATCCAGCTCTACCCAGTCATTAAGTTTCAGCTAAGGGAAACTTCTCTCATGGAATTGACTCTTCCAGTCCATACTATCTTCTCTGTCTGACATTCTATAGTAATTTTAGTTAGGAAGCAATAAGGGAAAAGATGTATTTTTAGTTATATGCGTGAACATTACACTTCTAGTTCATCTGTGCTTTCTGGCATTCTTCAAATCTCAGTAAATACATAACCATCCTCAGCACTGTCGTCCGTAATTAAGCCTGAGCTACATAGAATCTATTAAGGCAAGTCTTTAAGCAACACTGAGTTTATGTCATGTATACACAATTCTCTGTATATTTTTAATTGTTTTATATCCTTATTATTTTAATGCCTAAGTTCTTCATATCAGTTTTCATGTACAAATTAGGTATAGTTGCAGATTTCACGTGGAATAAACTACTTCTATAATAAACCTAGAGAAGATCTGTAGACTTACTAGTAAAAAGACTTTGCAAACATATGTCAGCAGAAATCACAAAAACTGTAAAGCTAGGGAAGGGCATGAAAAAAATATTGAATTTCTAGTCATAAATGAAGTTCTTTCTGATAGTTTATCTTTATTTTATACCTAGCTACTCTATTTTTTAACCATATATAATGAGTAAAGGATTATTATACTCCTGGCTCATGATTCTTTAACTTCGAAAGTAATAGTGCAACACTGATGGAGGAAAAATGGGATGTTTGAATATAAAATGATATTAATGGCCTACAAATGAGTGTTAATTTGGAATGCATTTCTTTAAAAATGACAAGAATGATCTCACCCATATAGGGAACACATTATCTATAATACATAAAGTGAAAATATATTAAATACCTGTTTTAACAATATTAATTTTATGTAATCCTTTTTAGAAACTGTAAAAAGTATAAAATTTTACATTTTGACTTATTGTTCAGAGTCTGTTTTCCATATCAGACTATAAACTCTCTGTAAGGAGTCGCCATGCCTCTGTTGTTTATTATTGTATCCCACTCTCTAGACCCAGGCTGCCAATCCTATAGTCACCAGCTACACACAGTTTTCATAAACTTGAAATGTGGCTAGTCCAAAATGACTTGTGCTATAAGCCAAATACACACTGAATTTTGAAGCCTTCATAAAAAAATTACAGGAGCTCAATAATTTTCATGTTGAGATACAATATTTACATATATTGTATTAAACTTTACCCCCCAAAAATGAAATTTACCCATGTCTTTCTACATCTCTGAGTATGGAAACTACAAAATTTAAAATTGTACATGGGACTTGCATTATACTTCTATTGGACAGTGCTGGCCCAAACTGTGCATAATATATTGTACACTATCACAAAAGTCCTTCATATGCATAAGTGAACCCATTCCAAAATATGTTAAAATAGATGTTTCTGCCACAATTATTTATTGACAGTTTATAATGTCAGCTATTTAAAACCATATTTTTTATAAGTCTAGAAAGTTTCTTGGAGAAGTGATTTTCTCTTTTATGCTCAACAAAGCTGACCTTTTATTCCATATACAACATCATTTGCATTATTTATAGCATGCAGGATGAATAAATTTTAGTTTTCTCATAGGCTGTCAACACGACACATTAACACATGCCAGTTCAAAAAAAATTAAATTTCCGATCTTGCACTCACACAAATGACAAATTTCATACTTTATTTAAAATTGGGTTACTATTTTCTCTGAATTGACTGGATGTTTTGACATTGTCAATCCCTTTGGTAATACACAGTATCATATTTACAAATATTTTGCCAATATGCTTTGAAATAGAAGTGTATGGTAATACACCCCCAGCACGTGTGCTCAGTTCTGCTTTACAGATGCCTTGCTCATTGACACACAAGTTCTATTACCAAGAACCAGCCTATTCATTTAAGTTCGTACTTACAGGCAAGACTAAAGCTCTCTGGAGTTGAGTATTAAAATTTAATAGAGCTTGGGAATGTCCAGTCTAAATATGATTACATTAAGAATTACAGTCAGAACAGCTTTTGAGAGCACTGTATTACCATTTGTTCCTCCTCTATGGGCAGCATCCATGGTCTATGAAATTGAGATATTGATCTTAATGACACAAAATGGTTGTGGATCCAGATAGATACAAAAGCCAGATGAGCTCCCTAGCAACACAAGGAAATATAGAACTTTGAAGCAGCACTTCTCTCCAGAAAATTTTAGAACTGACCTGTGAAATTTAGCCCAACTCATTTATTTTACAAATGAACACACAGATGCCCTCAGAGATTGACTGCCCATCGCTCAGAGAGATATCAATGTGATCTTTATTTGATTCTCTTCCCTTTGCAGCACCTGATTCTGAATTTATTTCATAGACACATTCATATTTCATATTAACTAACTGAACTGGGTTTCAAACAAGCCATCAACATTTCTCAAACTTAGCAAATGAAAGAAATAATAAGACAGAGCAAAATTGCTTAAATTCAATGAGAATAGTGAAAAATATGATGGCAGCCATAGCTATTAATGAACCATTTTTTTAGCATAGTAACTGCCAAACATATAATTTTATTTTTTATACTTCTGAGTGTGTATGCATTTTTCTTTCAATATTTGTGTACTATTTTTCCTAATTATAAATTAAAACAGTATGTAAAAGAGTCACCTTGAACCCTCATACCTTTGTCTTCTAAACTTCTAACCATTATTTCTATCAATTGTCATCTATGTCCCTTTAACATGATTATTAACACTGCAGAATTACCTCCTTTATAACTAGATTATGATTACAAACATTTTGAGAACAGCAACTCTGCCTTATAAATTGTTATTGTTCTAATAGACTCTCATTAAAGAAAGGTCTAATACTTAGTAGAATGCATTTGCCATATTAGACAATCAATAGATGTAAGTTGATTGGCTGTTATGGGTTGTTTCCCTTCACTGACTTTGTGAGAGGAAGGTTAATATGTTCCAGATGCTGAAAGAAAGCTGTGTGTTGAAGAAATTAGAAACTGGCAAAAACTCACTGTCAACTGTGTCATAGGGACCCCTGACTAAACACAGAACCAAGGGGCAAGCTAGACAGGTCTCCATGCAAGGATGTTATAATGTCTACAAACTCTGTGGCCTTACATGTCTGCACTATTTTTCTGGATTACAGGTCATAGCACTTTACAGACAATGTCATATTTACCTTGATGGTGTTCTCGGATTGTTAAGAAGGGGCTAATGCTTTGCCCATTTCCCTCTATTGCCACAGGGAAAAATATAAGCAAAGAAAGTCTGAATCATTTATACAGTGTTGCACCATAAGGCATCGAAAGAGGCAGGTGCAGGTCTCAGATGGTTGTCTAAGTCCAAATTCCACGCTCTATCTGCTAGATAATCCTGTTTTCCCTCTCCCTCTCAATAGAATATTTCCCTAGATAGTTCCTGAAACATTTATAGCAGAAGCCTGCAGAGTGACTGTTATAGAAGTTTGTGGAAAACTTCCAGGCATCTAAAAATGTAGGAAACGGCCACATTTCACTTTGGGTATTCACATTTGAGAAGTGATGTGTTTTTTTTTCTCCCCCTCAAATATTCAAAAGTTTGATCTAAGGCAAAAGTTTTACTATTCCTCCCTAAACTAGAGGAATGAAAACACCCATGAATTTTCATCAGTTTGCTGTAGGCAGAAATTTGCCA